ATTCAATAAATCCAATAAATCAAATAAATCCAATAAATCCAATAAATCCAATAAATCCAATTAATCCAATAAATCCAATAAATCCAATAAATCAATAATTTCAATAAATTCAATAAATTCAATAAATCCAATAAATCCAATAAATCCAATAAATCCTATAAATCCAATAAATCCGATAAATCCAATAAATTCAATTGATCCAATAAATCCAATAAGTCCAATAAATCCAATAAATCAAATAAATCAAATAAATCCAATAAATCCAATCAATCAAATCAATTCAATAAATCCAATAAATCCAATAAATCCAATAAATCCAATAAATCCGATAAATCCAATTAATTCAATTAATCCAATAATCCAATAAATCCAATTAATCCAATTGATCCAATAAATCCATAAAATCCAATAAATCCAATAAATCCAATAAATTCAATAAATTCAATAGATTCAATAAATTCAATAAATTCAATAAATTCAATAAATTCAATAAATTCAATAAATTCAGTAAATTCAATAAATTTCATAAATTCAATCAATTCAATAAATTCAATAAATCCAATAAATCCAATAAATCCAATAAATCCAATAAATCCAATAAATCCAATAAATCCAATAAAATCAATAAATTTAATAAATTCAGTAAATTCAATGAATTTAATAAATCCAATAAATCCAATAAATCCAATAAATCCAATAAATCCAATAAATCCAATAAATCCAATTAATCCAATAAATCCAATAAATCCAATAAATTCAATAAATCCAATAAATCCAATAAATCCAATAAATCCAATAAATCCAATAAATCCAATACAATCAATATATTTAATAAATTCAGTAAATTCAATATATTTAATAAATCCAATAAATCCAATAAATCCAATAAATCCAATAAATCCAATAAATCCAATAAATCCAATAAATCCAATAAATCCAATAAATCAATAAATTCAATAAATTTAATGTATTCAATAAATTCCATAAATTCAATAAATTCAATAAATTCATTAAATTCAATTAATTCAGTAAATTCAATAAATTCAATAAATTCAATAAATTCAATAAATTCAATAAATCCAATAAATCCAATTAATCCAATAGTCAATAAATCCAATAAATCCAATAAATCCAATAAATCCATTAAATCCAATAAATCCAATAAATCCAATAAATCCAATAAATCCAATAAATCCAATAAATTGAATAAATTCAATAAATTCAATAAATTCAATAAATTCACTAAATTCAATAAATTCAATAAATTCAATAAATTCAATAAATTCAATAAATTCAATAAATTCAATAAATTCAATAAATCCAATAAATCCAATGAATCCAATAGTCAATAAATCCAATAAATCCAATAAATCCAATAAATTCAATAAATTCAATAAATCCAATAAATCCATTAATTCCAATAAATCCAATAAATCCAATAAATCCAATAAATCCAATAAATCCAATAAATCCAATAAATCCAATAAAATCAATAAATTTAATAAATTCAGTAAATTCAATAAATTTAATAAATCCAATAAATCCAATAAATCCAATAAATCCAATAAATCCAATAAATCCAATAAATCCAATAAATCCAATAAATCCAATAAATCAATAAATTCAATAAATTTAATGTATTCAATAATTTCCATAAATTCAATAAATTCAATAAATTCAATAAATTCAATAAATTCAATAAATTCACTAAATTCAATAAATTCAATAAATTCAATAAATTCAATAAATTCAATAAATTCAATAAATTCAATAAATTCAATAAATTCAATAAATTCAATAAATTCAATAAATTCAATAAATTCAATAAATTCAATAAATTCAATAAATTCAATAAATTCAATAAATTCAATAAATTCAATAAATTCAATAAATTCAATAAATTCAATAAATTCAATAAATCAAATAAATCCAATAAATCCAATAAATCCAATGAATCCAATGAATCCAATGAATCCTATAAATCCAATGAATACAACAAATCTCATAAATCCAATAAATCCTATAAATCCAATAAATCCGATAAATCCAATAAATTCAATTGATCCAATAAATCCAATAAGTCCAATAAATCCAATAAATCAAATAAATCAAATAAATCCAATAAATCCAATCAATCAAATCAATTCAATAAATCCAATAAATCCAATAAATCCAATAAATCCAATAAATCCGATAAATCCAATTAATTCAATTAATCCAATAATCCAATAAATCCAATTAATCCAATTGATCCAATAAATCCATAAAATCCAATAAATCCAATAAATCCAATAAATTCAATAAATTCAATAGATTCAATAAATTCAATAAATTCAATAAATTCAATAAATTCAATAAATTCAATAAATTCACTAAATTCAATAAATTCAATAAATTCAATAAATTCAATAAATTCAATAAATTCAATAAATTCAATAAATTCAATAAATTCAATAAATCCAATAAATCCAATGAATCCAATAGTCAATAAATCCAATAAATCCAATAAATCCAATAAATTCAATAAATTCAATAAATCCAATAAATCCATTAATTCCAATAAATCCAATAAATCCAATAAATCCAATAAATCCAATAAATCCAATAAATCCAATAAATCCAATAAAATCAATAAATTTAATAAATTCAGTAAATTCAATAAATTTAATAAATCCAATAAATCCAATAAATCCAATAAATCCAATAAATCCAATAAATCCAATAAATCCAATAAATCCAATAAATCCAATAAATCAATAAATTCAATAAATTTAATGTATTCAATAATTTCCATAAATTCAATAAATTCAATAAATTCAATAAATTCAATAAATTCAATAAATTCAATAAATTCACTAAATTCAATAAATTCAATAAATTCAATAAATTCAATAAATTCAATAAATTCAATAAATTCAATAAATTCAATAAATTCAATAAATTCAATAAATTCAATAAATTCAATAAATTCAATAAATTCAATAAATTCAATAAATTCAATAAATTCAATAAATTCAATAAATTCAATAAATTCAATAAATTCAATAAATTCAATAAATTCAATAAATCAAATAAATCCAATAAATCCAATAAATCCAATGAATCCAATGAATCCAATGAATCCTATAAATCCAATGAATACAACAAATCTCATAAATCCAATAAATCCAATAAATCCAATAAATCCAATTAATCCAATTAATCCAATAAATTAAAGCTATAAAATAAATAAATAAATCCAATTATATAAAGAATAATAGTGAAATATGTACTCCTTCTACTGGAATATCAGGTTTGAGTTACTCATGTAAATTCTAAAAAATGGTTCAAGGATTCATTTATGAAAGTTCGGAGTGATTAATTTATAAAATGAAGCCAATATGCACATAGCACACAATAGGGCTGTGCAGTTCTTGAAATTTAAATTGTCAAGATATCAAAGGATCTGGTCATCTGTGGATGTGGCAGTATCGCCCAGAGGGTGTCCAGCTATTTGGCCGAAAGTAATTAGGCCAAAGGTCACTAGCCCGAATGGTCATTAAGCCAAATGGTCATTAGCCCAGACTGAAACAAATTTAGACGAGCTTCCTTGCACAGTTATGTTTTAAGATATTGAACTCTTAGATATTTGTTCAGACTATTCGGACTTGGAAAACTTTTCAAGAGGTATCGGACTGCAATTTTTGGTTTTTTTTTCCGCAATAGAAGAAACTTCATACATCCCCTATCATAGAATCTGGAGTTCCTCAAGTTAAGAAATAATTTACCGGAATTCAGCCTAATGACCTTTGGGCTAATAACCTAGCGTCCTCCCTGCACATTCAATATAACCTGTTTGATGTATCGCATGATGATGATAGGTTCTTTTATAAATTAAAAGTACGGACCATTTTACGAGGACACCAGAAACATGTTCTGATGTGGTCGATGGGTCTGGGGTACTCAATATGTCCACCAATTATAATGTTTTTAAAGTTCTGTTGATTTTAACATCAACATCACAGAATTGAGAACCTCTACCTTTGACATATCGAGTTACTGAATCAAAACAACACTACATAACACTACATCGACCAAAGGAGACATCGACTTGTAGACTACATGGGAAAATGGTCTGGAAAATGAAGGGACTGCAAAATTCATCGAGCTATGGAAAATATCGAGTTATAGAAAATCCAGTTGTGGAGAGTTGACTTTAGCTTATTATAGTTCGTGACTTGTTCGGGATGAGATTTGAGCTTGTGACTTTGGCGTGCAACTTTGTCTGTGCCGTCAAGAATCTTTTCGTATTAATCGCATCTTCTCGGCCATCAATTAAAGTAATATACAACTTTCATCGTTTCCATTTGAATCCTAGAATCCTACAGAAGTGGTTATACAAAAAAAATGTCTAAACATTAATCAGTAAATGATCACTTTTTAGGAATTCAACTTTATTATAGAAAATGAAATAACGAAAACGATACAAATGTCTTTAATATGGAAAGCTTTTATTTCTGTTCTCAAAGCCTCCTACGTATGAAACTATAAAATTGGAAAGAGGCTAATGTCAAACCGAGGGGTGATCAATTAAATTATGGTGATCGCTAAAAGCTGGATGCTGAATCTTGTCTAGTTAGGTCTAGTTCACCCCACATTCTCCATTTTGCTGCATGCGGACATCGCTTTTGCACTGGCAGCTGTCATCTCGCCCGCACTTGTGTTGTGAACACAAACCGAGGGGCCCGTCGACACTCGGCGACGCACTTGTTTTCTAATTTTTGTTTTCATCACTTACATTCACGCATACAAGCAGAGCAGCACATTTCTCCCGCGAGCGAAGCAGAGCAGGAATTTTCCTTTCCACTCTCTCGCTCTCTCCACCGCCGACCGACCGAACAAGCATTCTTGAATGGGGAGCGAGCCGCGAGAGGGATGCATGCAGAACTGAACTCCGACAGTTTTCCCGACCATCGTCGTCCGTCTGCGTCTTCCGAAAAACTTCAGTCTACGGAGAGAACTCGAATCGTGAACAACGCGTTTTTTTACGACGCCGTGTGTCTTCTTCGCGACTACCGAAAATTTGAATATCTTCTTTGCTTTTGCCTTCCCTTGTGCTGCAGAGTGTGTGAATAGTAATTCCGGTGTAGTGACTAGATGTGAGCGAGTGAAGAATAATTTAACTGAATTTCCGTGTGACGATCAAGAAGAACAAGTGCTGAGTTTGTGTAAATCGTGGTAAATATTTCCATTTCCTAATAGCTAGTGATTGTGAGGAAAAAGCATTCCCATTTTTTTGCTTCTGCTCTATAAAGCACAAAACCAAAGTCTACAGTGCGACTAATAGGGTGAGGGATGGGGGGAGGTGGGAGTGGGCGTGCGAGTCAATCGATACGAGTGTATGTTGCCAAATTTAGGAAAACAAAAGCGTTGAATAATTGATGTTTGATTGGGGGAAAACTTCCGACATGTGCCAAACCGTGATCCGGGTGAACTGCGGAAGATGTTTTCAGTTCGTTTTCGGTGCTTGTTCTCACTCCCGAAGGGCTGGGGAGCACTGGATGGCTTCCATGTTCTTTTTCCATCCCCGCCGTGGTCGTAGTCGTCGCCAATTTCACACACAACTCTAGCGTCACTCCAGCGGTGAAAAATATTGACCGACTGCAGGAGAAACGATGGCCATGGCAGGGTATGGATGGACAGTGAATGCGGTCAGCGAGGAGTGAGTTGTTTACAACTGAAATACGTCAAATTGGAATCACCCAAGTCGGCTCAGATCGCCCCTAATGGGAGTTTTATTGGTACGGTGGAATCGCAGTAGGCCTCTATCGAGGATTATCGAATTTTTATAGTCACTGACTGACTGAGCAGTAAGCGTATCAATCCAGTTTTCGAGTTCAAACACAGTGCGAGAAGCGAGAAAGGAGAAAAGAGGAAGAGTATTGGAGTTCCTTCTGGCGAGTCTTGAGCGTAAGTGTGTTTGTGCGTAGATGTGATTGAATGCGAATCAAAATAAAAACACACATACAAAGTTGGGACTCGGGAGCGAGAACTGCTGCCGCAAACGCCCTTTTCTCGCTCGCTCGCTCGCTCGCTCTCGGTGTCGGAGTCGGAGTTGGAGGAGTCATCCAAAAGTAGGCACCGAGCCCCTCAAGATCGCATACGCTGGGATCGCGGGTTTCGTGAGGGAGAATGCAGGTGAGGAAACCGGTCAAAGGTGATCATCCGGACGTGATGATAGCTTAGCTTGTTGCTGCTATTTTGAAATGGAATGTGGCGGCAATCCGTCAAGTTGTTGGCTGCCCCTTCCCAGTTTGCCCCGCCTGCCTGAGCCGGTCTTTATATTGGTAACGAACGTATTATCAATGTATACTTATCGTGTGATTGAAGATTCACAAACGACGATGACGACGACGGCAGTGCAACCACATGATGCATGTGGGAACGAGGTACGTCATTTTCGGAACAATTGAGATGATTGATCTCATCACGAAGTAAACAGCCGGGCGGGAGGAAAAAACAACAGCCACAGGTAATTTTCCTATCGATCCCAGCCGGGAGGAAGATGATTAGAACACTGGATGCAGGATGCATTTAGCAGAGAGGGTTTCAATCTCTTAATAAGTTGGAGTTAATTTTGAGCAGCTCTGATCTGAACTTTAATGTCTGATGAAAATGCCTGTAGAATGAGAAGAAGGGTGCATGTAGAAAAATGAACTAGTTTTGGACTTTCGATATAAAATCAATGTTTCAATGCTGATGAATGTGGGTGTATTTGTCTACAATTTACAGACTTCTTCAGACACTGAAGAAGTCTACTCATTCCAGATGAAATACGCATATCTGTCAAGGATAAGCAAATAAGGTAGTGTAATTAAATGGAAATTACTAATCCTTCTCTTACCGGGTTTTCAATGTTTTTCCAACGAGTAGTGAGGAACAATAAACTGATTGAATCAATGATGCGTCGGCAAAATATTGTCCTTCGTATCCCCCTGTCTCCTGAGCTTCGTAGAACTCTCGAAAAAGTTCTACGAACTTCGAACAAGTTCTCCCAACCTCAGAAATGATCTACGAACAAGTCTTTAAAGTTTACAATACTTTTATGAATTTCATTTAACTTTCGTGAAACTCAAAGCTCAACTGAATTTCCCTGCAGTTTCCAGAAGTTCCTTGAACTAATTAAATTCCCTGCAGTTCGCAGAACTTTCGTAAAATTCTCTGCTCATCGATTCGGTAATTCCATTTCCCACAATCAACGAAAAAGCCAAATCAACCATCCGCAAACTGCCGTCGTCCACGTTTTTCCCATTTCCTTGAATTAGAACGCTCCCTTCCGTCCGTGTGTCCCATGCATAAATTCCCCATCTTCAATCTGGCTGTTCCGATCTCGAATCCGCCCTTATTCACCGCTTACAAATTGCAGATGTCTGCTGGCAAAATCTTGATAACCTCAAGTTTACCGCCGAATTATTCCAGCTCCCATCCGGTCCTGGGACGATGCAAAAACCCATCTCAGACCACATCGCAGTAGGCTTTTAAATTATTCAAAACCGCCAAAAATTTACGCACCGCCTACTACACCTATATTACAAGCAAGTGAGTGAGTGCGTCTTTCTCCGCAAACCGGGGATGACTAGAAAATACCAGAACGCCTAATTTATAAAACGGTCGGTGGTTGGTTGGACATTGGACGAGAACAGAGTCGTGGACGTCGGCGTGATGGTGGCGTGAAATTGGGTTCAATTGAAAGTGAATCGCCGGCGGTCGCTGCGGTTGCCTCATCTCAAGATAGACGCACGCTCACTCGGGCGATGCGGAGCCGGAGATAATATCTTATTTCTGAATCGTATCTCGGGCGGCGCCTATCTCGTGTTTTGTCGCCGCCGATGGTGGTCGCGTGCTATCGTGGGGTACATTGATGATGGGTGGGGTGAAGTAAAAGGGGGAGGGGGTGAGCCGTCCGGCACAAATGGTGATGAGTTCTCGATTGAGGTTTGGATTGGTTGTTTTGAATGGTTGAATAATTTCGGCTGTTGCTTGTTTGAATGAACTGTGACAAAGCAGAAACAGACACATCTCGAAGCTTGTGCGAAATATAGATTATCAGAATGGAGTGCTGCGATGAAGATGAGTCGGATGGGAACTATTTCTACATTCATGTGTAATAGGGTGGTTCAAATATCGATTGGGCTCCACCAAACGCAATCGATTTCCAATCAGGTCCTGATAATTCTCCCATCATTTAAGCTCATTTGGATGCGAACTCAAACTGTACTGGTTATTTAAAGTTTATATGGAAATTACTATGGGAAAAGTTAACTTTTTGTTCTCATCGTTCTAGCCCTTCACTGTAATGATCTACGGAAAAGTTTGCTATCTGTTCTGAGAGGTATAATCTAAAATTGGCTTATATTTTAGCTCTTTGACCTGGAACTGCTCTTTAACCTTTTGTCAACTCATACACACTCATTTTGCGCCAACTTTGCTCAGTGTGCCTCAAGTGTGTCGCAGCTGTGCCGACAGCTCGGCCGACAGTGCCAGTCATTGAGCTAGCTTTGTTTGTTTGTGAATAATTACATGTTTGGTAGCCCGGTTTTTTGACAGCTCGAATGTTTTGTTTTGCTCGCTGAAACCGAGAATAATACTGGGAGTACGCGAACCAAGACACGAACCTTAATCAGCGGGATGAATTTTCCTAGATTTGCGAAACGTTGTTGCACCGTTGCAACTTTCTATGCACCAGCAGCAACCGCCGTAGAGGGAAGCAATCAGGTGAAAAATAACAGATCAGAATCTCGACGAGCAGCTTCAGTTGGAAGGTAATTCGGGCGGATCCAATATTTTGGTTGTTCTTGTTTATTTCTGATTCTCCCCGTTTTGACATTGCAGTTGTCAACTCGCTCTCCGACAGGAGCAGCCAGTGTGCCCAGCGGGGTCCGTAATCTTGATCCGGTCCAGCGTTACCATTGTCGATCTCCTACACCGCAAGCTTAGCTGTTGGCCATCGGAAAACTACGCTGTTGGTTCGCACCCAGGCCTGTCTAATCCTGCCGTCATTGGACACTATTGGGTCAACCACGACTCCACGTACCCATAGCTTCCGGTTCTTACCGTCTACCACGTAGACCAGGTCTCCCGTCTTCAGTGGCTTCGTTTCGCTGAAGCACTTACTTCGTTGGTTGATCATCGGCGCGTACTCCTTTATCCACCGTTGCCACAGTTGTTCAGCCAGTTCTTGTGAGAGGTAGTAGGCGTTGCGAAGGGCTTCTGCTGAGTGAGGGGGTGGAGGGACCTAAAGCGGCTCATTCGGAGAATGCACCATGTCTTCGGCTTCGACGATCGACGTGTGGAGAATCTCGTCTATGAGCTTCTTCCCATCGAGAATGACCACCAGTGCTTCCTTTACCGTCCGTACAAGACGCTCCCACGAGCCCCCCATGTGGGGACTGGCAGGAGGAATGAACCTCCATCTTGTGCGCGCATCGGTGTAAATTTCAGCACATTCTTCCTCGATGACCCGAACCTTCTCCATAATCTCCTTCCCAGTTGCTTTCAGGTTGGTTCCGTTGTCCGACCAGGTGTTCCTCGGCGACTCACAAATCTCCGAATTGCCATCAAACATGACGCTGCTGTCAAATCGTGGGCGGCTTCAAGATGTACCGCACGCGTGACCAGGCACGTAAATAAAACTACCCAACGTTTCGGATGACTGCGGCCAGATGACACTGCTACAGGCCCAAAAAAATCCATCCCGGGGACGCTGGTATGGGTAGAGTCTTTCCACCGGTAGGGGTGCCATTCTTGGAGTCTTCGGTTGATTCCGGTGAGTTTTGCACCACGAACAGTTGCTCGCCACTTTCCTTACTGCTGCTACTGTCTCGTGAAACCCGTGCCCAATAGCGTTCGTGGAAATGTTGGATTGCTGGTCCCTCGCAATGATGACGGGAAAGCACAAGTCAAAAGGTAACTCTTTTGCAGTATCGGTGCGACCTTCCATCCGAATAACTCCATCGATATCTAGCATCGGAGTCAGTTTGTAGAGGGGACTGGACTTTCCTAGAGGGTACCACTGTTCCGATGGTCTGTCATGATTTTTTATCAGCACTTTCAGCTCATCTCCGTAAGCCTCCGCCTGGACGATCGTGTTAAGAAAGCGTTCTGATCTGCAAAATTCTTTCTGCTTCAGCGGTACGCGCACCGTGGATATCGGGACTGGAAGCAACATCTTCGCCTGTACCACGGTCGGCTTAAGAGTAAACCCTTCACCTTCCTTCTGCAGTTCGAGACAAATCTGAAAACGCATGCCGCCTAACATCGACTAGAGGCTCTGGGACAGCAACGTCGTGGAACAGGTAATACGCTCTAAGCTCCAAAGCAATGTTCGTTGGTGGTGTAGATTGCTGCGGCCAGTCCGCTTCGGTCTGGTACAAGAAACTCGGTCCTCTGAACGAGACACTTTCCATATCGAAACTCTGGTCACGGTTCCCCTTCGTCAGCCTGTCAGCTCTATTGTGCTTCGTTGACACCCACTGCCAATCCGCCATTCTGGTGAGGTCCAAAATCTGCCCAATGCGGAATCCTACGAAAGGTTTGTACCGACGTTGATCGGAACGAATCCACAACAGGACCGGTTGGGAATCTACTTTAACACCGTGATGCAGCCGTGGAATTGTCAGCTGCTTCAGCGGCACCACTTTCGTTCGACTCATCACCAGCGCACATCGGACTTCTCCTCTGACCACCACCCGAAGATAAGCCACGCAACCGATTGCTTTCTCGCTAGCGTCAGTGAACACATGAAGCTGAACGTCATCAAGCTCATCCGAAGAAGCGTTCCCGAAGTACGCTCTTGGAATTCTGGCCGCTTCGATTTCCGACAGCCATTTTTGGAGCAACCGTGAACATGAAGGCATCCCCGTTCGTGACCCTGGTTATCCCCAAGACTCTTTCGGAGATGGTACTCTTCATTTGGAAGTGGACATTAGGATTGCTAATTTCTTCTCCCATCTCCCGTATGAATTATTCCGAGTTACTCACCCAATTTCTGATATGGAACCCACCTCGTGAGTGAACATACTTCACTTCCTTGGCCAGGTTGACCGCTTCCGCAACAGTATCTGCGCTGTCGTAGTAGTCGTCTCCGTAATGAAGGTCCGTAATTGCGGCTATCGCGGCTTCTGGGTATTGGCTGGCGAATTCACTAGCATTTATATTTTTGATAAACTGTGCGGAGCACAGCGAACAGGTTGCCCCGAAAGTCGTAACATCCATGATGTAGACCTGTGGCTCGGGAGCTGCCGGCTCGTCTCGAAAAAGGAACCGTTGCGCATTCTTGTCCTCCTTCCTAATCTTGAATTGGTGATACATTTCTTTGATGTCGCCACCGAAAGCATAGCGTCGTTCCCGAAAGCGGCAGTCCCACACAAGATGCACTTTTCCGGGTTTGCGTGGATTCTCCACAACGTTCAACGGAAGATACCACACGGTAGCCGGATCGGACTCGGCCAGTCCCTCTTCGGTCGCTAGATGCGCATACTGCTTCAACTGGTTCTCCTGTATTTGCTGCTGCACGTTTTCTCGAAGTGGTTGATTCTTCGCCAAACGCCGTTCCAGTGCCAACAATCGTCGCTTCGTCAACCCCTTAGCTGTCGGAAAAGTCCCTCTCGTCCTTCCACCATAGCAGTCCTGTCTCGAAATGGTCGCCCACGCGAATAGTGGTCGTTCGCAGTAGGTATGTCACGAGCTCGATCTTCGTTTGATTCTGGAACACCGGCCGGTGATACCCCCAGTTCTTCGAGAACATACTGAATGCGGAAGATGTCGTGAAGATCCTGGTTGGTCACTCCTTCCGTCGTGTGGAAGTTGACCTGCTCTATCGATGATGGGTTCTGCTTCTCCGGCCCGTAAACCGTCCATCCTATCTTGCTTCTAACGCCGATCGGTTCACCTGGCCGGCCGATACGTGCCTCCTCCGAAGCATACATATGGATGTTGTCCAGGCCGATCATGATCTCCTGGAACCGCACTTCCTGTTTCGGGAGCTTCAGTCCGGAAACTGTACGAACTCCAAGTAGAAGATGTTTGTCGTTAGAGCCTCTCGCTGACTGCGTCAAATGAACCCGTCTTTATGCATCCTCCTATCTCTTCATATTGCCTGTCCATAACACGATTAACGGTTCTGGTGTCCCCTTCGCTTGGAGTTGATTTGCGACGGTCTGCTCGATCAGTGTTACTGACGAACCTTCGTCTAAGAATGCCAGTGTGTCCACTGACTGGTCTCCATCCGAAAGCGTTACGGGCATCATGCGAAAAATGACCGACCGGTTCAGACGACTATGCGCATTACACTGCACTTCCAAAACCTGCACCATCTCCTTGGTACGATGCAACAACGGGTGATGATACTCCTGGCAATCTCGCACAGCTTATGCTTTTCGACCACCTGCATCCGTTCGGTGACGCTCAGCTTCTTGAAGTCGTCGCAATACCTTGCCTTGTGGTCCGACCTTTTGCACATCCAACAAGGCTTGGCAGCTTTGTCTCCCTGCGACGGATCCACCTTGGACAGAGCAGAATGCACGTGCACAAACTCCTTCTTCTTCGCGTTTTTGTTCCGTGGAAACGACGATTCATTAAGATCCAACGATACGTCCGACACAACGCCGGTCATGAAGTCGGTAAACATTCGCAGGGGAGTGCCGTGAGAGCACCTTTCGAACCGCACCCAGTCCAGCTTATAGCTTGGAGGCAGTTTGTCCACCAGTTCCTGGACCAGCATTCGGTTATTCAAGTGATCCACCAACCCAGCTGCCTCCAAATGATCGCACAATTGCTTTACAATAATGCCGAAGTGGAGAAAGGTTTCCAACTTTTCGGCTTTAGTAACGGGGGTTCTTCTCGCTTATCACTTCCGGAACTGACTCCGGTAAGATCAATCGGCTTCTGACGGCCTCGAGGGCCTCTCCTTACAGGCTGTCCAGGTTTGTAAACCCGCAAGCTTTGGTCGTGTTTTTAAAAATTCTGATACACAACAGCCAAATCTCGGACTTACCCTTGAAGATCGGAAGCTGCTTCGACATTGCATGGCGTGGGGGAGCACCCCTCACCATCCCCCTTCAAAAGGGGAGTTTGGTAAAGAGAGGTGATAAAACCGATTTGTACCTTCCTTAAAAGTTGTCCTAGCTCGCTATCTACTCTTCTATATGCAATTTCACACTGCCGCAATCTAAACGGAACTATCAATTCTATACTTTCATCTCCTCCTCATCTATTGTATAAAAATTACCACTTCAGTCAGTTATTCGAAATTAGCATCTTCAACTATATTTCATCTCGATATTCTTATTCATCTTCCTCGTTTTCCAACAAAGCTCTCAATCTTCGACAACTTCTTCTTGGCCGGTGGCTTAACTTCCTTCATCACTGGTATCTTCGGATACGCCCCTCGGCGATCATCTTTCTTCATCCACTCTTGCAGCCATTTCTACACTTTGTCCTCCGTTGGGAGCTCCGATAACTTATCTTCTTCAAAGTCACCACCCACAGCACCATTCTTGTCGGTCCACTGATTTGCAGTCTTCCTTTTGGCGTTCTGGAACTGCTCACGTAAAGCATGCTGCTTTCGCAGAAACTCTTCTTCAGCAGCTAGACGACGCTCCAGCATTTCCCTTTCCTCCATCAACTGCTGCTCTCGTAGCTCTTGTTCCTGCCGAAGCTCCTTTTCGTGTATTTCTATCTCCAGTCTCAAGCGCTTCTCCTTCAGGGCCTTTTTCATCACTAGCCGTTTTTCGCGAAGCTCCCTTTCTTGCTCCTTCGCTGCTTGTTCTTCTTCTAGCTGTTCAATTGCCACAATACTTTTCACGGAACTAGCATCGCTTTTGGATCGGTCCTTGGACTTCGATTTTCGACTTCGACTTTGGAATTTGCGACTGGTTCGGGCATTTAGGGCAATTCCAGGGTTTCTTGCTGATTTCATCATTACAGCGCAGCTGTAATGCGCCCATAGCTCACACTGACCGCATTGCACCATATCATCGGTATCATCTGGTACCTCGCAAAGCATGCAGTTCTTCCATAGAGGTAACTCTAAGACAAGTAGGTCCCGAAGAAACGTGCTCAACTTTTTGGCTCAGCTCTGGTACTATCTTCGGTCCCAAGCTAATCGATTCACCCCTCGAAACATAGGAAAATCCACTAACCCCTCATTTTATCTGTCAAACTTCCATAGTGAATCAAAACAAACATAGTGTAGTACTGGAATTTCGACTAGAATGGGATAAGTTAATCGATTTGCTTGGGGCCAATAGGCTAGTCAAGTAGTGAGGCAATTTAAAATCGATAGTTTCGTATTGATTGTTGGTTCTTCTCCGTCGGATCTTCCATATTTTAGGTTATCCGATAATCCTTTGATTTTGTTCGGATTACGAATAAAAAAACCTCTTTGAATCAATTCCGGTGTAAGTAGATCAAAGCTACACATTTTATTTAGATAAATTCATTTTTATTTATTTACCTTACATACGATTAGTTTTTCCTCCAGCAACAAAAACTTCCTCAGAACTGATTTTATAATATTAATAAAGAGGAGAACACGACTTTCACTAGTTGACCTCTTCCTACTGTTTCTGCCTTTGACAGTTCCTACCAGTTACCATTTCTTGTTAATTCAGTGCCAACATTTCAAAGGGGCGTAATTGTTTTTGTAAACAATGGCTTTAGCTGTCGATTTCTCGCATCTTAAAGCTCACCCCTTCAAAATAACAATGTTATATGGTAGAGGAAACATTCCTCTACCTATTGGTGCCATTATTTTTCATGAGTGAGCTTTTATTCGCGAGAAATCGACGGCTAAAGCCTTTCTTTACAAAAGCTATTACGCCCCTTTGAAATTTTGGCATTGAATTTCCGATTCTCCCCGTTTTGACAATGCAGTTGTCAACTCGCTCTCCGACAGGGGCAGCCACCCCCTGACGATAATAGGTTAAGGTATTGCCCAAGCCGATATTTCTCCTAAATAAAAACTAACATTTTCCATAGATTCAGGCATTCATCAATGTTTATATACAGTCACCTTAGTATTATGGGTCACCCACAATTAATGGCCACTTCCATTTGATTAACACGCAGAACTCACTGACCTGGCTGGCTTATAATATTTGGGGCAAGTATTGGGGTGACCGTAAATAAATCTTTAATTCGTTTCCGAAACCTATTAACAGCGGTATCATTTGACGACGAGGATGGGCAATGCCTGGGATTGAAAGATTCAATCGGTCAACTGAGCAGTAAATTCGAAGTAAACAAACCAAATCCCGGAAGTTCCAATTAGCCAAGGTTTGATCCAACTGACACATCAACAGTTTCCAATCATAGGAAGAAGTGGAAGCAGTGCTTCGAGATATTTTTGGATGTCAAAAATATTACGGTACCATCAAGAAAGCGGTTCTATCTGCTTTCATTTGCTGGAAGCGATGCACAGATAGTTTCTTCAACCTAAGAGGAGATGCCAAAGTGGTCCGATCTGTACGCCGAACCGGTAAAACTGTTGGACAACTACTTTCTGCCGTCACATCTTCAGGAAACTCGAGCAGGCTCCAGATGAATCAATCGAGAAGTTCCTTCTCCACCTTCGCGAGCAAGGAAATCTTTGTGACTACGGTGAATGGTTGGAGGAAAACAGAAAACAGCAGCTGTTTGAGAAGGGGAAAATTTTGACGTTCCAATATGACTCTGGCGCAGATCGTGGAACTTGGAGGATCAATGGAGACGATAGCAAAACATTGGAAGAATCTGGTGATATGTGAGGAAGTGAATCGGATTGCAACAGGATGGAAAGGTGCACTCACAATCGTCACTACGCCAACGACAGTGAATGCCCAGCTCGCGATAAAAAGGAGAAAACAGTGATTAGGAGAGGAATGAACCGCAGGAGCAAGGTGTATCGAGTTGATGATTCGGGAGAGAGTTATGAAGATTCGAATGATTTGTCCAGCGATGAGGATAGTATAAATTGTCTTTGTCATGAGTCCAGATAATGATGATCGGATCACATTTAAGGTAGGAGGCGTAATGCTCAACTGGATGGTTGATTCTGTTGCCGGAGTAAACGTTATTAGTGAAGACACTAGGTCATTTTTGAAGAAACAAAAAGTGAATGTCAAGTATCAAACCAATAATGTCATGAAAACATTGCTTACAACCATCGACTCTCTGGGAAGGGAATATGTTCGTGACAAGGATCGAAACCAAGAAAACGTTCGTGCGAGACAAGGTTTTCATCGTCAAGGAAAGTGGAACGAACCTTGTGAGACGAAAGGCAGGGAATTTTGAAGATTGATATGTCAATCTGCAGTGTTCACAAGGACTCCAACAAAATCGGAAGGTCAAAGGCGTTTCTGTGTCTGTTCAAATTAACCCGGATATGAAACCTGACCAGCATTCACCCATTCCACTACAACCGAAGGTCGAGAGCGAATTACGGAAGCTTTTGGATCAAGACGTCATCGAACGATCACCACGGGATTCACCTTGGATTTCAGGGTTAGTTGTACGACCGAAGGTTTTTTTTATCTTTATTTGAGAGATTTTCAGCCGTTGGCTAGTTCATCTCTATTGTGCGTAGACATCCGTGATGCTAATAAGGCGATAGTTCCATAACATAATCCCTTTCCAACCTTCGACGATATAATTCCACAACTGCAAGGTTTTTTTTCAAAAATTGACAAAGCGTTCCATCAAATAGAATTGCCAGAGGAATCTCGGGCAATCACAATGTTCGATGGATACTACCGGTACAAGCATCTCATTTTCGGGATGAACTGTGCTTCAAAGCGTAATGGAAGAGTTTTGTCTGGTATCAAAGTCAGCAGCGAGCAGTATGTTATTTGGAACGAGGGTGACGCGCTTGGCATAGATAGCGCACAGCGGCTCACGACGAGCAACTGAATCCAATCAGCAGCCTGATAGCTACTGCTTGCGGGGAACCTTTCGTTATGTACTGGAGAACACCACCACTCACCACACGTGGTGATTGAATAAACATCGTTCGGTGAAACCGGATGGAATTCTATTTTGAAATATGTGTTAGGGAAAGCATTTTTCACAGGCAATCGGTTATAATTTTGATCATCATTGCAACAGTTGGACATTTGTATCACTTTCAATAGTGACCTATTGATAATTGACAAAGTAATAATTTTAAAAGATTCGTAGAACAATTTCCAATCGATTGTTTTGTTTAGAATTAAAATCCATCAGCTATTGATAGAGTTATAAGTGGTCAAAACCTGACCGCTTTTCGTAACGCTGTCGTCGATTTTGGTTTTTTGCACCCACAATATGTCGCCGAAAGACGTAATCCTATTTACGTCAAAGAGATGTTAAATTCAAATGGGAGCAGAAGCAGCGGATGCTTTTGAAATGATTAAATGCGAAGTTTTAGATTCTCGGAATCTGGGCTTACGATGCTAGCCCGGTTGGTTTGGGGACAGTATTATTACAAACAAAGGGTGATATGCTTCATCAGCAAAGGTCATTCTCCTGGAAGAGCCGATGCGCAGAATAAACGAGAAGCGTTGGTTTTGGTATGTGTAACGGAGAGGTTGGAGCCTTACTTGAGGGGAATGCAGTTTGAATTGGTGACCGATCACGAGCCGCTCATGGTGATATTTGGAACCAAAATTAAACCATGTCCACGCATCGAGCAGGGCGTTATACGATCGTACATGTTTCTTGAAAGGCGAATATTGCTGATCCACTCTCTAGGCTGCCGTAGTTTCAGAAATGTTCAACATCCGTCCAAATTGGAGTATCCATTTTGCTTACAATCCTGGATACATCAAAGCCTGCAGCACTGGACGACATTCTCACGAATACCCTGAAGGATGCAGAACTGTCGCCGACCAAAGAAGCTTTGAATACTGGTCAATGGGGTTTACAGCTGAAAAGATATCATCCATTTAATACTCGTATCGTTATTCCAGCTTGTCTTCGGGAGCACGTGTTAAAACTGTCTCACATCGGTCATCCAGGAATAGAAAGCACAAAACAGAAACTTCGCAGTAAAGTATGGTGGCCAGTGGCCACAGATCGATAAAGATACCGAGTGAATGGTGAAATCTTGTTTGGATTGTCAACTGGTGAGTAACAGTTCCGGAGGGATTTGAGATTTGGGCGTAATTGCATTTGTAAACAATCACCGATTTCTCACGAATAAAAGCTCAATCTCGAAAACTAACAACACTATGAGGCAGAGGAATGATTCCTCTACCATCTGGTATAGTTTGTTTATGAGATTGAGCTTTTATTCAAGAGAAATCGGCAATTGACGTCTTAGCTTACAAAAGCAATCACGCCCAAATCTCAAATCACTCCGGAGCTCTGGAAAAGAACAAATGTCAATAGAGAAGTTACCAAGTCAACTATGACATACTTCAGGCTAACGGAGACGTGGAGTCTCGCGTGGAGAGTCAAAACAGAACAATCCTGAGAATCGCGCAGATCAATAAATTGGATTGGAAAAATTAATTAGAAGAAGTAAACTATGTTTATTCACTACTTCAGCATCCAACAACGGCACGTTGACCTGCTGAAGTTCTTTTTGGAAGGAAACTCCGTGATTGGATACCTCAATCCACATGGAATGAAGTAACCGGGGACAACGAAACAAGGGATCGCGATTGGGTGTACAAGTACTCTGCTAAGGCACACTACGATGCTCACAACCGAACTGTCAATTGCGAATTGCAACGCAACGATCGAGTGCTTATGCGTAATTGGCGTTGACGGCGACTCTGTAGCTCTTTACTCCTATGAGAAAATCCATAAGCAAACGTCAGACTGTGCGTGAAACATGGCGGACTTTGTACTATCCTTTCACTCCACCGAAAATTCCCATAAGAAACTGTCTATATTTGCTGAAAGAGCAAATTTTTCGACGGTGCCGTCAACGCCAATAAGGCTGTCCACGAGACAGTTGCGATCAGCTGACTTTTTTTGTTTACCAAGAACTTTTGACAGATCACAGTAGAACTGGCAGTTTATTCTCATATGAATTTCTGCTTTGGTTATGTTTACATTCAGCACCATTAACACTAGATCACTCACACACTCTAGATTTCTAGCTGTCAGTTCCACTGAGAAACGTCTCTAGGAGCACCTTATATGGTGCCACAAAATAAGTTGTCTTCGCTGTTCCATCCAGAACCGGCAACAGCTCGTGAGAAGGTCGGTAACAGCGTCGTAATAGAGACTGCCAATGGAAAACAGTACCGAAGGAACTCATCACATTTGAAGAAGCTGGTTAACTATAAGGAAACCGAACGATCCCAGCTCCAGGATGAATCTTCTGTTAGGGATGGCGCTACGCCATGTTCAATGTCTCGGATGGCTTCCAGCACGCCATGTTCAGATGCAAAACCAAGTCTGCAAACCGAGGTCGTTGGAAGACCTAGAAGAGAGTGAAGCGTCTGGTTTGATGGATAACTAGGTTAGGCAGCAGTACACTATTAATTGATAGAAAGGAAGGAATGTTATATTCGGAAAATAAACTGGCAGCACGGACCGTGGTGGAAAAGAAATAAAAAACTGAAACTGAACAAACTTGTGCCAGAGAAGTCGCATTTGCATTTATTTAACTCGTTTCCGAAACCTATTTACGGCGGTCTTTTTCATACCTACGGATTCAATCGACAGTTCTCTTCGAATATTATCAAGCGCCGTTCGAACGTCAGGAAGATGATTAAAACTCACTTTTTGTTGGCCATATTTTGCGTCATCCACGCAACACTTCATAGGCATTTTTCTGTATCTGATAAATAAGGCACTTCTGAATAATGATTAAAATGAAATTATGCACGAAATCGACTCAACCAAAATTGAAATCAGATTTGTTTTGCGTGCACTGTCAAAGTGCCGACAATTTTCTTTCCATCTTGGCAGTGAGAAGCAGACTCGAAAAATATGAACGTCAAAAGGAGCTAGAATCAAGCTGTCATAAACTGTCATTGGAAGCCAAGCAGTTTGAGATGCTTTTCTTAAATTTGAACAAGAATACACAAGGCAGTATTGAAATCTTGCGTAAACTCATTTATGACAAACTGTCGGTTCCTGCTTGTTCAATGGGACATCGTTTTTTTTTTAATTCATTAATTGAATATACTCAAATCAATATTGAGAGATACCATTAACCAAGGTTTTCTGGAAACAATACATGCTATTGTTATTTTATTGTTGTGGACAGTACGTTTTCTTTTAAATACAATAAATTCTATTGTATACTTACAATACATTTCATTGTACCTCTATGGTTCTTTTGTTTACGGGCGTGCTGCTAAACTATATTTAAGAATACTATTTATGAACACATTTTACAGAAAACTATTTCTATTCCAAGTTCTATTCACTAATTCATAATACAGTTGACAGCTAGATGAGTGATGTCCAATTTGCGTAAAATCAATGTTAGCTAAAACGATGCCATAATGTGCTATAACGATAAGGGTCTGGTGTCAAATGAGGATGATTCAGCTGAATACAATCAAAATGTTAATGCCTTCCAAATCCAAGTTCAACAAATCAACAAGTTCACTTGACGAACGCCAATTTCAGTGCATCACAATCGTCGTACTTCAGCAAGGTTTCATTTATTTCCTCCCGTCATCCAATTTTCCATTTAATTCGTCCGGTCCGTCTTCCGACGATTTCCATCCGTCCAGACGACAACATCGACGGCAGCCAGACGGAAAAGTCCTACCTATCCTTTTTGAAGCGCTTGTTTGGATTCGGGCAAGGTCATTTCCCTACCGTGAGAGCAAATATCATTGAATCAGACTGAGCGAGAGGGCATCATATCACATTCAAAAGGAAGCATGATGCCGCCATGCCGGGCTGGGCGGAAAAGTTTATAAGTCCCTTCCGTCAGCCATGGTCCGATGATGAAATAAATGTCGGATGACATTTGTGTCTGCCGCCACACCGCCGCCGAGTCTCGAAAGCGATCAAAACAAAAGCAAAGACAGCGCAATATGCAATAAAAGTCATAGCAGTAGTCCATGACATTTTGAGCTTTCTCTTGTGGTGACGGGGTGACGTTTTGTCCAATAAAAAAGCGCTGGATGCAGTGCTCACTTTGATGTGGTTGGTGCAAGAAGACGATTCCGTCAGGAGAAGTTCAAAGGGAAGGGAAATTGCAGAAAACCGGTGTGCTGGGAATGCTTTTTCCTCGAAAAGGTCAACTCCGTAAATCTAACAACAATGACAGCGGAAACTACCATCCCCTATCACCACCTCTTCCACTCATCCTCAACAAACGCCTCAAACCATCTTTTACGCTTTGCATTTCCAGGGCTGCAGGGAAAATCCATATAAGCTCAACGCGACGCCAAGTGTGTGTCTGTGAATCGTGCAGTGAGAGAATTGCAAAACGAGAATCTTCATCCCCTTGACTGGGAGCATCAGCTGAAGAAAAGGGAGGTTATTTTTTTCAGAGTGGAGAGATTCGTTCCGGTGCAAGTCAAGTGTCAAAATTGCTTTGTTGTTGTTGTTGTTGTTAGTGAGTGGTATTGTTGCAGCGATTCGCTTGAAGTCATGTGAAAGCCGAATCAGAAGAACGCAAAGTGCGGTGTGGTGCTGAAGTTCATGGCTTGCTGTTAGTGGAAAAAAAAACTCGGAGTTCAATAATCGCAACATAGCAGAAGAATCGGTTTTCTACGACGAAATTGCTGTCTGGAATCTCAGGTGTGCGGGTGTGTGCAGAGCAAGTGGGAGTGGAGAAAAGATGTCTGTGGAATCGCTTTGATTCGAGAAGATTATTTGGTGGGCGACCGCGACGAAACAGTGCTTTTGTTTTTCTCTTCGGAACGGGGAGAAGAATTCAAATCAACTTTCGGCTGCTGGATTGATTGTCAAGAGATACAACAGGCGGTGACAGTCAGCTGGAGCAGTTTGACGGTAAGTGTTTAACATCAATCTCTCTATGGTATTATAGTAGGCCGTAAATTTTCCTTTCGAATGCTGTTTTTTGTGGTATCGATTTCACACGCTCATTAAAGCAGGCCATTAAAATCCCAGGAGTAAACTGTTTAAACCTGTTTCCAATCTCAGTAGAGCGTTGTACAACAAGTTCTTTTCAAGTCACTCTTGTGTCGCATTCGATAAATTTAGCGGCCAATGTTAGTTTTTCACCCCGTAGCCACCGACGCCGTCGCCTCCTTCTGTGCACGGTTCGGCGTATTTATAGATCGTCTTTCGGGTTCAGTTAGTGCGTTTTTGCGGCAGTTAACTGAGAACACGCTGCAAAGGCTAGGTTAGAAGTAAAAGGGAAAAAAGAGTTGTTCAATGTTTTGAAAACACTGTCATACCGAATTTGCTTGCTAACGCAACCGTTGCAAATAACGCAACCGTAATTTATGACACCCACCGATGGAATCCGAACAAGAATAGGTTTGCGTCGTCCCTCACACGGGTTGGCAATTTTGTGGCAGATTTATACGTTTTTAATTAGATGCCGGCTTAATGTCTTGTAAATTTTGTCGATTTTCTTTTGTTTAAGCAAGTCGGTTCACGGTTGTTTAAGTTTTATTGCGGCCATTAGTCGGACAAGTGAATTTGTGATCGACAAACTGTCACTCCCCTTGCTTGGATTGAATGCAGTCGCTGGTGAAAGAACTTGCTGGGTTTTTGACAGATGTCTGATTTGTGTACATAGTTTTTACTTGATATTTTTAACTGTGCACAAATTTGACGAAACCGATTAAGTATCAAATTCTCGTAACCATGTTTTCATGTAAATAAACACCAACTATTAAAAATTCCAAAAAATGATTCCACCAGGAAGACGACCTCCCAAGTTCGTGGAATGTCGATAATAATCAATTTCAATAAATAACAACAAATGCCGTGCGTTTCCCCCCTCGTACGAGATTGAGTTATTGATTGACTTGTCAATCTGCCGAGTCGTTCGATTTTGCGATTCACGCCGTTGACTATGACTGGTGGTAGTATGTGGTGTATGATGATGATGATATCAACATTGAACAAACCTCCCATGAGGCAGGCAGCACAGGGCACAGGACAGGACAGTCGCCGCGGTTGCTTCGATCGATGATGACGATGTGTGTCGAGATGGCCTTGGAAGAATCGACACGACTTGGAGAATTTAATCAAAGCCATCCGGGGCGCGTTCGGCGACACTCTTGGATTGATTTCCCCAAGCGATCATCACTACCCTTCACCGCATGGGGATGTTTTCTTGTTGCAGCAATGGAGCAAAACAACAGCCGGAAGACAAGTGGAATCACTCTCGGGAATAATGATTCTGACGTGTGTGATTGTTAGAGTTTGTTTACGTCAAATCTCTGAGTGTGTGGATCAGCTTTTCGTGCCTAGTGCTCGTAAATAAACGCGACCAGAAAAATATACAACCTCGGAAAGTGGGATATGTAAATGGAGGATGTTGCGTTTGGTTTCTGCAGGGAAATTATTAGAGACCTAGAAATCGAAACTTCGTGAGGTTAAGCAGATATGGGAAATGTTTAGTGAATTGAATATTCAAATAAATAAGAAGGGACGGTTGATCTGGCACCACTGCCAATAATAGCCAGTTATATTGTTAAGACCGACGCACATTAGATCCGGATCGGATGCATTGCGGCAATGTGACAGCTAAATCTATTGTCTAACTGTGAAATTTACGTCAACGCAACGCAAACGGATCTAACGTGGGTGGCCCTTTAATGTGCATTGAATTACGGCTCCGCAAAGCTAATGCAATTGAGTCTTTTCAATTAAATAGATTAAAAAAATTATAATAATAACAGCTAGTATGTCGATTGAGGACCTTGCCTTGACTTTGGAATCGTGTTTAAATTTAATTGCAAGAAACGTACTTTAAACAACTTTAGAGGGTACTTTTAAAATAAAAATAATGATCTGTGAAAGTTGATCATCCTCAAAATGCATCCTGGACCACAGTGCAATAGCAGGGCGATTGGCACGAATGTGGACATCCGTAATGATCTCGCGATTCCAGTACAGCTTTATGCAACTATTTTCCAGTACCAGGTCTGGCAGGTACTTGTAGTGAGGGACGTACTGGTTCACCAAGATGTGCTCACTGCAAGTTGTTGGTGCACAATCTTAGTGACATCATTGCGACGACCGATATACGCTACTTCTGCCAACGCTTGGCAACCAGCACAATACTGCATTGCACTTTCTACACCGGTCTTCTACTTCTTCGTGCAAGATGTACCTACGGTAGTTCTTCGTCGCAACAACCCGATCCTGGATGGCTACCATGAAACCTTCAGTCTCTCAGAAGAGTTCACCTCGCACCAGCCACGTATTCGACGCCACTTTGTCGACATGCGCTTGTTTCAACTGATGGGGATACGACCCTTGCAGCTCCTTCAGCTTCCACGATGCGACTTGACAGTTTGTAGGTCGCAATTCAACTGGTAGTCTTCCTGCGCCAGCTTCAGCTTCTCCACTGTTTCGGCAAAGAGCTTCAAGTCGTCCATGTAGAAGGTGTGGGTAACATTTGTGCTTCTTCCTCCACTTTTCAAATGGTAGCCATAGTTGCATTGTTGAAGTCGATGTACGCCATGCTCAGGTTTCTCTTTTTCTAGCTCGCCTGACCGACAATAACTGCATCGATGAAGACCTGATCTTTGCAGTCTTGAGTGTTTCGCCGGAAGCCCTTCTGTTGTTCGGCCAGGTTACAACGACCGTGGACATGCTTACAATCCCATTACTCCTAACCTCTTCCTCTGCCAACCACATCCCATCACTGTTATATTGAACAGGATTCCCCACATATCGGCTCAAAACTGTGTTAAATCGGAAATCTCCGGGATAGTCGGATTTTGTTGTTACGGATGTGGTTTAACATTCGATTTTCCTTCTTCTGCTTCGAACTTTCTCCATAACGTCGCATCCGTTTAGCAAGATGTAGGGACGTGTACAACTTTCACCTTCTCCTTGCGGGAACGTCCGCAATCCCAACGTTTGTACCACGGCCATAGGTGCACAGTACACTATACACTGCAGGTTCTCAAGGTTCTCAACGGCTTCCAAGTGCTGTGGCAAAATATCCTCGTTGAGAACGCTTACTGCACTCATTAGCCGGTAGGAATACTGCAGTTTGGTATCCTGTGTCAGGACATGTGGTCTGTCCCTTGGTATTGTGTAGCCGCTACGTCCATACGAAAAGCTAGCTCATCCCGTAGTTGCTGTCGTTGCTGGTCCACTGCTTGTCCAGGAGCGGTTGGCTCCTCCGTTGACGTGTTTACCGGTGCAATCGACTCACGTCTCTCACTCGCAAGTGATGCTTTCAGCCCAACAAAACTCCTTCTCGACGTATCGCTCTATCCGTTCCCTTCCCTCCACAGTTTCCTCCGCACTTCCAGCTTGATGCACTCTACTTCGGCAGTAAGTAAGTTGTGCGGCATGATTGCTCGCTGCCTATACAACTTGTTCCGGTCAAGCTGGTTGGCAATTCGAGGGAACCGCTCATTGAACATATCCAGCATCCTTGATCTGCCGGACATATCGATCCACCGACATTTACGCGTTAAAAACTCTCTACTGTTCGTTGGTTCGTAGCATTCTGGAGTACGCTGCTCCAGTTTGGGCCCCTTACTATGTAGTTCATGTTCTTACCATTGAACGGGTACAGAAAAGGTTCGTACGTTTTGCATTGAGACAGCTTCCCTGGAACGATCCGTCTAATCTTCCTCCCTATTCTGACCGATGTAAGCTCATAGGATTGGAGCCACTATCTACCAGACGAGTTACGATGCAGCGATTATTTATTTTTGATGTCATCGGAGGATTTATTGATTGTCCTGAACTTCTCGCACAGATCCCACTAAACATTCCTCCCCGACGGTTTCGGAACTCACCTTTATTAGCAGTTCCATACCACAGAACAAACTACGGATACAACAACCCGTTCGATTCGTGCCTTCGCTCGTTCAATGTTGTTTGTGACGAATTTGATTTTAATTTGACCAAAAATGTTTTTAGAAATAGGATTAGAAGCAATCTTTAGTTTATAAGAAAATAGTTCAGTCTGTACGACTAGTCGAAGACGGTGATATATAAAATAAAATAAAATATAGTACAGTGCTGCAAGTAACTTTAAATATCATGAAAATTTCTAACTATGGGTGCCAATGAAGTGCCCAGGTGTGCCCATCTGTATTTTTGGCACACTGTGCGGAGTGACTAGCCCCTTGGCTATACCGAGAAATCAACGTTGTAAATGAAAAGGGCCAGTTACGTTATATCGAGGTATTTCACAGCATCCAACAGAAACAACACCTTAACAACATGAAAACGGCAGTACAGAAAATCTCGGAGATTGGCAACATCATTTTTTCTCCAACGAAAAGAGACGGTGACGGGAGATGGAAGATATTCCACGATGTACTGAAGAATAAATGCTTCCTGTGCACGCCCGATGGGCATTGGAGAGATTCTACGAACAAATCTGACACCACAAAACCAAATCGCTGGCTCACTTCGGTTAAACCATTTGCAACCAAATCGGTTGCCCGCCGCAATGAAAAATTGCACTTCCGACAGTCGGTGATTAAATATAAATAGCGCACACGCATCGATGATGGTCCGATCCGTCGTGCATTTTACGAGCAAACCGCGCACAATCATTGCATTCAGCTCACGCGCCCAGCAGCGCACTTCCGAATGATTCCGTCCAACTAGGAGCTCTCTGTCAGTGTATAAGCTGTTAATTGTTTCTTGACCAAAGTGAACTGTCATTTCTATCGGACTCTTTGCTATGGAAACCCATCGCCGACCGCCATCGCAGTTTTTTTTTGGCAATCTGTCACCATAAGCAACACTTCCACAGAGCCACCGCTTGTTGTTTTATTGTTTTTTTTTTGAAGAAAGCCGTTAACGAAAGACGAGGTTTAGTGTTCTGTCAG